TGCGGCGCCATTAGGACGCGGCATTTAGCTAGCAAGAACCCATGGGGGTTCTGCGCAGCAGCAGCAGCAGCTGCTGCTGCTGCTGCCCGTTGCTGCTGCTGCAGCGGAGGGCGCTGCTGCTGCTGCTGCTGCTTCGGCCGATACCGAGAAAAAGATAAAACAGCAGCAGCAGGAAGAGACACTGCCTGCGGCCTCCTCCCTCGCGGCCGCTCTTGCTGCTGCTGCTGCTGCTGCTGCTGCTGCTGTGGCTGTGGCGACGGTGGCTGGTGATGCGTGGTGTGGTGCTGCTGCTGTTGCTGGTGCTGCTGCTGCTGTTGCTGCTGCTGCTCTTCCGGCAGCTGCTGTTGCTGCTGGCACTCCGCCTCGCACTGCTGCTGCTCTTGCTGCTGCTGCTGCTGCAGCTGCTGTGGCTGCTGCGGCTGCTGCTGCTGCTGTGGCGACGGCGACGGCGTGTGTTGCTGCTGCCGCTCTTGTTGCTGCTGGTTTTGCTGCTGTTGCTGCTGCTGCTCCACCTCCATGTTCAGCTTGCGCTGATGCTTGTGTTGATGCTTGCGGTGTTCATTCTCGTCAGGCAGTAGCTGCTGCTGCTGTTGCTGCTGCTGCTGCTGCTGTTGCTGCTGCTGCTGTTGCTGCTGCTGCTGCTCTCGCTGCTCCTGCTGCAGCGCAGGATCTTCCTCTAACGGCTTCATTGTGCGTTGCTCCTGCCCTTGCTGCTGCTGCTGCTGCTGCTGCTACTGCAGCTGCTGTTATTGCTGCTGCTGCTGCTCTATTTGTCTCGTTGTATGCATAAGGCGGGCACTCTCTGCACAGCGGCTGCTGCTTGGACACGAAAGCGTACGTGACAGCCACCAGCCAGCAGCAGCAACAGCAGCAGCAGCTGCAGCAGCTGCAGCTGCTGCCGCTGCTGCTGCTGCTGCTGCTGACCTCTTTGGGTATCAGCTAAGCAATCTAAAGGAAGTCATAGTCAGCAGAGAGCCTGTGGCTGCTGCTGCTGCCGCTGCTGCTGCTGCCGGTGCTGCTCCTGCTGCTGCAGGTGGTGTTCGTGTTGCTGTCTTCGGTTGTGCTGCTGCTGCTAGTGCTGCTGCAGCAGCAAAGCTGATCTCACTGCAACAAAAAGCAAACTTGAGCGCAAGGCTCAAGAGTCCCAGTGTATGCGTATAAGCAGAAGGAGCAGCAGCAGCAGCTGCTGCTGCTGCCGCAGCAGCTGGTTGTTCCTGCACTGCAGCAGCAGCAGCAGCAGCAGAAGCAAACGGGCTAGCGAGGCCTCAGCAACTCCCCTTCAATTAGCATAAAAAGAGCTCCTTAACTAATGAGACTCAAATAAAGAATCTACAGATAGCAAGGCAGCTAACAACCCGCTGCTGCTGCTGTTGCTGCTGCTGCTGCGCTGCTGTTGCTGCTGCATGCGCAGTTGGCAGCGCTGCAGCAGCAGCAGCGGCAGGAGAAGCTAAAGAGAAACTTTAGATTCCAATAGTTCGAAAATATATTAAATTAAATTAATTAATTTGTTTTTTTGCTCCAATTAAATACAACTGAGAGGCAAGCAGCAGCAGCAGCTGCTTCCCCGTGGTGTACATAGACCTCAGGACAACGCCCGACACAAACCCCAAACCCTAAACCCTAAACCCTAAACACCAACTGATCGCAAAAACAGTACCTCTTTGCAGCCTTTAGAGGTAGCCAGAAATAACTCAACGAATTAGGGTTTAGGGTTTATCTTGTGTTTCGGGTTTAGCCGAGCTGCGCGATTCCCGTTCAGTGTTCACTGGTAGCAGCACCGGCACGTAAACCCTAAACCCTAAAACCTAAACGCTAAACCCTAAACCCTAAAGCTCCTCATCCTGAATACACTAGTTCGGGGCACAGCTAGACTGTAAACCCTAAACCCTAAACCCTACACCCTGGAACTCAAGCCTGGGGTTTGGCGCTTCCACTTGGGGGTTTAGGGTTTGGGGCCTAGGGTTTATTAAAGGCTGCACTCAAGGGTTTAGGGTTTAGGGTTTAGGGTTTAGGGTTTGGGTTTAAGATTGCCAAAACACTTCACGCTTCAGGTGTGCACACACCCAAGATCTCCTGCCACACCCTGAACCCTAAACCCTAGACCCTAAACCC